AGCGGTCTGCAGGGTCTCGGGGGTGTGTGCATGATCTGTGGTGGGCTCTTCAGGGTCTCGGGGGGCTTTGACCACTCAGTGTATGTATCCATAACTTAGATGGGAGGTGTTCTGCAGTCCAGGGAGATAACGGGAACAATGTAACCAATCAGAGTGCAGCACAGGACGCTCGGTGGGATTTGGGGAGGATAGGTAGGTATAGTTAGCAGACCAGAAAGGGAAGCGGATGAGAGAAGTGGATGGTCGGGGTGTACATACACTATGGTCGGGCAGACGCAGCACAACGCACATTGGTCCTGATTTATAAGACGTATGCACGTATTCTGGCGTATTGATTGCACACGGACAACAAAATCGTATCCTTCCCCTTTTTTTTACTAAGTGGGTGTGATTCATGTATACACACACGCAGGCTACAACATACATTGTATGTGCTTTGCCTGTGCGCTCTGATTGTATGTGCTTTGCCTGTGCACTCTGTATGTGCTTTGCCCGTGCACTCTGTATGTGCTTTGCCTGTGCGCTCTGTATGTGCTTTGCCTGTGCGCTCTGTATGTGCTTTGCCTGTGCACTCTGTATGTGCTTTGCCTGTGCACTCTGTATGTGCTTTGCCTGTGCACTCTGTATGTGCTTTGCCTGTGCGCTCTGTATGTGCTTTGCCTGTGCACTCTGTATGTGCTTTGCCTGTGCACTCTGTATGTGCTTTGCTTGTGTGCTCTGATTGTGTGTGCTTTGCATTTTGTGCACATACAGCATACATACGTGCTGATCCTGATAGAAATCCTTCCAGTCAACTTCATGTGCGCTGAATTTACATATTACACAATGTTATCAGCTGTCCTCGCTCCCGCCTGTGAAATACATGAGAACCCCCCCCCCCCATGTAATGGAGATGAGAGATGGAGGAGGGGTTTGTAGTTCAAATCAGGAGCACAGCCTAGAGTGACAACGCTGTTCCTCCATAGATACAGTACAGTGAGTGAGCGTTGTCACCCTGGGCAGGAAGTGTGTTACTGGCAGGATCGCCCGGGGGAAAATAAAGGGAAAGTGAAAAGGAATGCGGCCGCCACATCTGAGGACTGACATCTGCCAGGTGACACTTTATGATTTGGGGTTTAGATACATTTTAGGATATAATATTCCTGCCATCAGCCTCCCCTCCCCCCATCACCAAGAATGTTACCGGGGCCCCTTCTGGTCACATGTTTCCTCAGAATTGTTACATTGTATCCTCGGGGGAGGGGCGCAGAGATTCATGTGGAGTCATCATTGTCCTCATTCTTCCTGCAGGAGATCGAAGCAGAATGAGATTCCTCCTGTGCTTAGTCCTTTCTCTATGGCCGATATTCGGGATTCCGGGGACACAAGCGGTATGTAGACGGCAACCCAATACTAATATCTGACCTCCGTCCTCTCCTTCAGTCTTCTATCTGACCTCCATCCCTCCCTTCAGTCTTCTATCTGACCACCGTCCTCCCCTTCAGTCTTCTATCTGACCTCCGTCCTCCCCTTCAGTCTTCTATCTGACCTCCGTCCTCCCCTTCAGTCTTCTATCTGACCTCCATCCCTCCCTTCAGTCTTCTATCTGACCACCGTCCTCCCCTTCAGTCTTCTAACTGACCTCCATCCCTCCCTTCAGTCTTATATCTGATCTTCGTCCTTCCCCTCAGTCTTCTATCTGACCTCCGTCCTTCCCTTCAGTCTTCTATCTGACCTCCGTCCTTCCCTTCAGTCTTCTATCTGACCTCCGTCCTTCCCTTCAGTCTTCTATCTGACCTCCGTCCTCTCCTTCAGTCTTCTATCTGACCTCCGTCCTCCCCTTCACTCTACTATCTGAACTCCGTCCTTTCCTTCAGTCTTCTATCTGACCTCCGTCCTCCCCTTCACTCTACTATCTGACAATCGTCCTTCTCACAATGTGCATTAAAAAGGTGCAGTAGGTCAGATCCTATCTGTATGTATGTGTGTGTTGGTCTCCAGGCATGGGGGTGTCTCTATCTCTAGAGAGGTGGTGAGTGATGGTTGAGTGGGAAGTAGACACGGGAACCCTTCCATGGTCTCTTTCTTGGAATGTAAAGATTAGGATACCATTAAACCTTCAACTGCCAAGGAGCCGTGTTCTAAGTTTAGTGTCCACCAAGCATAGCCATGTGCAGAAGACCGGATACTGTGTTCCGTGTAGAAAGCCTCCAGGTATCCGGTGCTCCCTCCACCCTCCTTCCTGGTCTCCATGCTCTAAGGTAATTAATCTATTTACATTTAAAGAGATTGGCTTCCATCTTACATCCATCCTGAGAAATGAATCACTCCCAGAGATGAACGTTCCTGGGACCTCATTGCCCTAAGAAGGTCAGTAGGTGGGCTAAGGACAATCCCAATGTAGCTGTTGGCCACCCTGAAGTCAGTATTTACTGAAGATCAATACCAGCCTCGCATTGCACAGTTCTGATCAAAATTATTCAACCC